CGGTCCTGCCGGAAGCCCATGTCGCTGAACTGCTCCCAGAGCCTCAGGAACTCCCCTGCCTGCGGAGGCGGAGGACGGAGGGTGTTAGTCCCCGGGAGCTGGGGTGCCTCCAGGCCAGGAGAGCCTGCTCCTGGGCAGCACCTGCAGTTTTCCTGTACTCCTAAGGTGACCGTGGGCCCAACTCCCCATTCCCTGCTAACGAAGGAAAGCCCCAGCCTGGCCCGTCCTGGCTTTGCTCCCATCCTCCTGTGCTTGGTGCTGGGGGCAGGAAGAGTCGGGCTGCACACTGGTGCCCAAAGGGTGAACAGCTGGGGTCTCTGTCCATCCCCCAAACACCACCGAGGTCTCACACCATGCAGCCTCCGCCCTCCTTCCGGCCCCAGCCCCTCTAGCTCCCCCTCCTCATCGCTCCTCCTCAGGAGCTCTCCCTCCCCTCTGTGCCCCCTCACTACCCCCCTTCTCTGTCCACTCCCCACTCCCTCTGTCCCTCCCTCAGCCTCTGTGAAGAGCTGCTGAGCCCAGGTCAACTGCCAATCGGGGACAGGTTGTCTTCATCAGCACTTAGATCGACTATGGGCCACATCTGCATGTGTTCTGGGTTTCCAGGTGGGTGGCCATCTCCCCAGTCAGAGGGTACAAGCCTCTTTCTACTACCCATGGCACCCATCTGGGTATCTGACAAGGAGGGGGCGCTGCATACTATTTGTTGTGTTGATTAAAAGAAATCAAATGAAACCCTTGCCTCTCTCTGTGCTTCCTGTTGGCCCCCACCCCGCTCTGTTCCTCCCACCCCCCTCCATGGTGCATCTCCCTGGGCCACTGCCTTCTCCCCAGGACTGAGCAGGCAGCTATGGCCTGACTCCAAGCACAGGACGGCTCTGCTTGGCCCCCACCTTCCCCAGGGCCTGGGTGGGAGGCCCTGCTCACCTGGCTTTCAGAGAACTGGAACATCTCCATGGCCTCCTCCACCAGCTCCTCCTCGTAGCCCTGCCGCAGCAGCCGGTCACAGGCGCTGAGGTAGCTGAGGAACTGGGTTGGAAAGGGGCAGGGAGGGAGGGGCCGTAAGAGGAGTGGCAGGGGCAGGAGACCAGGGTGGAGCTGACCACCGGGTGGAACGGTCAGCCCACCACACACAACATGGCCCCAGAGACCCCCGTGAGCCAAGAGAAGAGGGACAGAGGCCTCCTCTAGGTCTGGGGACATGTGGATGGCAGTGGGTCTTGACCAACTGTCCCAAGCTGAGGGCTGGAATCTCAGAAAAGGGCTGTTAGTGTGGGTTAGAGTGTTCCTAAAACCTAACCAGGGAGGGGGGTCAGGCCTCAAACATAGTCTCACTCCCCACCCCCAGGCCATCCCATATGCATGAACCACCCACTAAGCCCCGCCTACTCTCCCTGCTGAGCACCCACATGTGGGAAGGTACCCACCCAACCCAGCCACATCTCTGTCATCCAGGACTCCACAAGCCCCTCCTATGCAACAGGTCTGCACCAGCGCTGGAAAGTGCTGGAAGGGGAGGGAGACAGTGGAGGACCTTCTAGGGGTTGAAAACCCATTCAAGTCACTCCCTGCATAAGTCACCAGGGGCTCCTTTGGCCCCCAAGACAAAGCCCTGCCTTATTGTTAGTAGGTGCTGTGGAGTCCGTTTCAACTCAGAGCAACCCCATGTACAAGAGAACGAAACCCTGCCCGGCCCTGTGCCATCCTCACAATCATTGTTGGGCTTGAGCCCATTGTTACGGCTGCTGTATCAATCCATCTCGTTGAGGGTCTTGTTCTTTTTCACTGACCCTCTACTTTACCAAGCACGACGTCCTTCTTCAGGGACTGGTCCCTCCTGATAATATGTCTAAAATAAGCGAGACAAAGTCTGGCCATCTTTGCTTCTAAGGAACATTCTGGCTGTACTTCTTCCAAGACAGATTTGTCCGTTCTTCGGGCAGTCCATGGTGTAGTCAATATTCTTCAGCAACACCATAATTCGAGTGCGTCAATTCTTCTTTGGTCTTTCCCGTGCATATGAGGCAATTGAAAATGCCATGGCTTGGGTCAGGCACATCTCAGTCCTCAAAGTGACATCTTTGCTTTTTAACACTTTAAAGAGGTCTTTTGCAGCAGATTTGCCCAATGTAATACATTGTTTGATTTTCTGACTGCTGCTTCCATGGGCGTTGATTGTGGATCCAAGTAAAATGAAATGCTTGACAACTTCAATATTTTCTCTGTTTATTAGGATGTTACTTATTGGTCCAGTTGTGAGGATTTTTGTTTTCTTTATGTTGAGATGTAATCCATACTGAAGGCTGTAGTCTTTGATCTTCATCAATAAGTGCTTCAAGTCCTCTTCCCTTTCAGCAAGCAACGTTGTGTCATCTACATATCAGGTTGTTAATGAGTCTTCCTCCAAACCGGATGCTGTGTTCTCCTTCATATAGTCCAGCTTCTCGGATTACTTGCTCAGCATGCAGATTGAATAGGTATGGTGAAAGGAGACAACCCTGACGCACACCTTTCCTGACTTTAAACCACAAAGTATCCCCTTGTTCTGTTCAAACGACTGCCTTTTGATGAGGAACTGTACAGGTTCCTCATGAGCACAATGAAGTGTTCTGGAATTCCCATTCTTCCCAACGTTATACATAATTTGTTATGATCCACACAGCTGAATGCCTTTGCATAGTCAATAAAACACAGGTAAACATCTTTCTGGCATTCTCTGCTTTCAGCCAAGATCCATTTGACATCAGCAATGATATCCCTTGTTCCACGTCCTCTTTTGAATCTGGTTTGAATTTCTGGCAGTTCCTCGTCGATGTACTGCTGCAACTGTTTTTGAATGACCTTCAGCAAAATTTTACTTGTGTGTGATATTAATGATACTCTTCTACAATTTCTGCATTCTGTTGGATCACCTTTCTTTGGAACAGGCACAAATAGGGATCTCTTCCAGTCAGTTGGCCAGGTAGCTGTCTGCCTCCTTACTAGGGTTCAAAGGCCTGCTCAGGACCCCTATCCCTAGCCTCAGCTCCTCCTCACCCAGTCTAGGCCTTTGCATATCCGGTTCCCTGAGCCAAGGCCAGCCTCGTTCTCTTCCCTGGAAGCCTCCCTGACCCTGAGTCTGAGTGGGTGCCAGCTGGCCTTGGTGCTCCCGCAGTGTCCTGTGCTCGCCCATTTCAGCACATATAACTGTGTAGTTGCTTTACTTATCTTCCTCATCTTCTCATTCACTAACTTTTTGCTCCACGAGGGGAGGGTTGTGTCAGTCATGTTCACCATTGTGTCCCCAGCACCCAGCAGGGCCGGCAGAAGGAGCTCAATAAATGTATGCCGAGTTTATAAAATGAATTAATAACAGCTTTCAAGGAGCTCCGAATTTAGTGGGGGAGATAAACCAGATATGTGAAAACATCCTTGTCAGGCAAATCAAAGCAGGATTTATAAGGAGTCGGTGACAGATGAGGGTTCCAGATCATAAGAATCATGGGTGTACATTGAGAAGGAGCAGGTCAGGTTTCTGCAGACCTTCGGAGCTCAGCAGAAAGCACAGATCATCTAGACTGATGGTTTTCAAACTGTTTTTGCCTCTGAACTATTGGTTCGGAGCACAAGATGGCTTCAGCAACAACAGGGTAAGGTCAGAGCTGTTCTGGGAGATGTCCTGCCCCAAAGGGACTCCCCAGCTGCCCACTCCACCCTCTGAGTACAGTTTGAAAACCACCCACCCAAGCTTTCACAGTTGAGGAAACTGAGGTCCAGGCAGGAGAAGCCTCACCAGTGCCTTGTTCATCAGAGGGCTGGCTGCTAAAGGAAGAGCTCTGAGCTGGCTTGAAAGTAGACAGGGTTTCCAAAGGTGAAAACAGAAGGGAGGGCAAGGCCAGATGGTGGATGCTCCCTCACCTCTTGGCTCATCCACAACAATGGGTTCTTAGCCTTGGTGCTCATCGCAACCACCTGGGGGGCTTTAACAATGCCAGATGCCTGGCCCCATCTCCAGAGATTCTGCTATAATTGGTTTGGGTTGTAGCCTAGGCATTGGGGTTTTTAAATAACTGTTGCAAAAGACCTCTTTAAAGTGTTAAAAAGCAAAGATGTCACTTTAAGGACTAAGGTGCGCCTGACCCAAGCCATGGTGTTTTCAATTGCCTCATATGAAAGCAAAAGCTGGACAATGAATAAGGAAGACTGAAGAAGAGTTGATGCCTTTGAAACATGGTGTTGGTGAAGAATATTGAATACACCACAGACTGCCAGAAGAATGAACAAATGTGTCTTGGAAGAAGTACAGCCAGAATGCTCCTTAGAAGCAAGGATGGCAAGACTTCATCTCAGATGCTTTGGACATGTTATCAGGAGGGACCAGTCCCTGGAGAAGGACATCATGCTTGGTAAAGTAGAGGGTCAGTGAAAAAGAGGAAGACTCTCAACGAGATGGATTGACACAGTAGCTGCAACAATGGGCTCAAGCATAACAACGATTGTGAGGATGGTGCAGGACCAGGCAGTGTTTCGTTCTGTTGTACATGGGGTCGCTACGAGTCGGAACTGACTCGACCACACCTAACAACAACAACACCAGGTGATTCTAACGTGCAGCCAGGTTTTGAATCACTGACTCAAGGGACGGCTGACTCAGTCCAGTAGGCCCCACGCCAGGCTATATATAGAACCATCTCCAGATCTTTTAAAATTATAGGTCCCCAAGCTCCCCTCAAGAAGTCCTGGTGGCACAGTGGTTAAAGTCGCGGCAGCCAACCAAAAGATTGGGGGTTTGAGCCCACCAGCCACTTCACAGGAAAAAGATATGGCAGTCTGCTTCGGGAAAGATTACAGCCTTGGAAACTTAAGAGGCAGTTCTACTCTGTCCTACAGGGTGATTATGAGTCAGAATTGACTCGATAGCAATGGGTTCTTTTGGGTTTGAGCTCCACCCCATATCCACAGACTGGCACCCTCGAGGGTAGGGCCTGGGAATCGGCATTTGCAAAGATTCAGCTGCTTGTTCAGCTTTGGGCCTACAGGACTGCAGCAGCCACCAGGCCTGCCTCAGGCCCCTGGGAGGGTGTTGGTGTCACCTTCAGACCATGGGATGTCAGGGCTGGAGGGGCCCCCAGAAGTCAATGACTCCAAATAAACTTGCCCCTTCCATTCTATGAATGGGGAAACTGAGGCTCAAAGAGGGGGCCTGGTGTGCCTAGAGTCCCATAGCAAGTCTGAGCCTGGCTTGGCCAGTCCCACACTTGTCCTGCCAGGCATTCAGTGGGCACACTGATCATTGCGGAAGGAAGGAAGGATTGAGAGACAGCATTTGTCTATCTCTTCCTTTTTCCCTGACCCTTCTAAGTGCTCAAGCTCCATCACCCGACACCCTCCCTCCTGGGCCATCTGACATTTATTTCTCCAGTCGAAAAGGATTTACTACCTTGTGTGTCTGTCTGTCAAGAGCCCTGATGGTACAGTAGTTAAATATTTGGCTGCTAACCGAAAGGTCAGTGGTTCGAACCCACCAGCCGCTCTGTAAGAGAAAGACGTGGCAGTCTGCTTCCATAAGGATTTACAGCCTAGGAAATCCTAAGGGGCAGTTCTACTTTGCCCTATAGGGTTGCTATGAGTCAGAATCAGCTCCGGCGGCAGTGGGTTTTGGTTGGGTGTCTGTCTTTCAGGAGGAAAGGAATCTGAACCCAGAGGAGCTGCTGAGTTAATGGTGGAACTGCATAGAACAGAAGGAAAATACCTTGGCTGGGGAGGGAGGATGAAGTCATGCATCCCTCAGCGCCTGGCCCCTGACTGTCCACCAGAAGAGAAGGCCACCCAGCGATCCGTGGGTCAGGCTGGTGGCCAGTTCATGTCTGGAGACACAACTTTGCTGACACGGGGATCCTTCTAGCCCACCCACAGGAAGACCCCTGCCCTGTGAGTTTTGACTAATCATAAGACGCCCCCACCCCCCAGAGATGGCCTGAGACCTTATCCTCATTACTGGGCCTGGAGGGACTAGGGAGGCATGTCAGTGCCCCTACCATGGGTCTGTTTCCTTACAACCCTCCTGGCTGGCTGGCTTCTTGGCCAAGATCCTCACTTTTCTGCAACAGCTGAAGGTAGGAGCAGCTTTAAATCTACTCCTAAATCTCAGATCAGCCTGGGGTGCTGTCCTGTGAGGCTTTTGCACAGAAAATAAGAGCACAGCACTGTGCACCAAAGATTCGGAGTCAGATCGGACTGGCTTCAGTGCTGGTGTCTCCCCTGACTGGCTATAAGAACCTCTCTGGCCTCAGTTTCCTCATTAGCAAAGTGGGGACAATAATAGCTACCTTGCAGAATAGAGAAGACCTAATTGAATGCCTTCAGATTGAAGGACTGGCACAAAGAAGGTGTTCAATAAATGTTAGTACTGCTCACCCCCTCCCCAGCCCCCATTTTAGCCACATGGGGTTACCCTGTTGAAAGGTTTCCTCTAGGACAGAGCATGGACTAATGAACCCAAATGAAGCAGGAGTGGGTGAGGAAGGAGACCAGGTGCATTCCCCACCTCCCCAACCTGGCAGCCCTGCAGCCTTCTTCTGGCTTCAGTTTGTCACTTCATTCTCTATTTGTCCTTCCTTCTCCCAGGAGCAGGCTTCTCCAGACCTCAGGGACCCAACATGCAGCAGTCATCAGTGATTATGGAGAAGGGATCCCAAGCCCTCTGATGGTAGTAGGATGGGGGAAAGGAGTAAGTGCCAACTGCCCTAGAACCTTTCAATACCAGGGTCCAGCTTTCCAACCATGGATAGAAAGAGAGAGAAAGCTGGGTTGGGATGAACTGTCTGCCCCTGATGCTTGCCAAACAATGCAAAGGGGGATGTCACATTGAGGTAGAGGAATGGGGATTCAGACAATGGCATTCAGTATTACTTCCTTCCTTGCCCTGGCCCTGTTCACAATCCTTCTATGCTTCCCTTTTGCTTCAGCCCAGCACTCAAGGTACTCTCAATCTGCCCCCAACTCCCCTTCTCTACCTCATCTCCCACCAGCCTGTATCAGGCACCCTCTACTTCAACAAAACTGGTCCAAATCAGGATTTCCCAAATACTTCCTTCCTGCCTCCATTCCTTTGTTTGCACTGTCCCTCCTGCCTGGAATGCCATCCCTTCTCCTTCCCACCAATTCAGCTCTCATCCATCCTTGAAGTCCAGCTCAAGGCTTGGCACCTCTACGAAGCCTGTCTTGATCACCAGAACCTCATTGTGGTAGATTAAGAATGGCCATAAATTCTTTGCAGCTCCTCTTATCAAGAAACCCATTGCTGTCAAGTTGATTCTGACTCCCGGCGACTCTATAAGACAGGGTAGAACTGCCCCATAGGGTTTCCTAGGCTTTAATCTTTACAGAAGCAGACTGTCACATCGTTCTCACACGGAGCGGCTGGTGGGTTTGAACTGCTGACCTTTCGGTTAGCAGCTGAGCGCTTAACCACTGTGCCACCAGGGCTTCTTCTTATCAAGAGTTAGAGTCTATTTTCCCACCCTTAAATCTGGGCTGGTCTTGAATGGATAAACAAACTATGGTATATCCACACAATGGAATATTACACAACGATAAAGAACAATGATGAAGCTGTGAAACATCGTATAACTTGGTGGAAGCTAGAACTTACTATGCTGAGTGAATTTAGTCAGTCACAGAAGGACAAATACTGTATAAGACCACTATTATAAGAACTCAAGAAAAGGTTTAAACACAAGAAAACATTCTTTGATGGTTACGGGGGTGGAGAGGGTGGATAAGGGTTATTCACTAACTAGATAGTAGATAAAATCATCTTACGTGAAGGGAAGGACAGCACACACTACAGGGGAAGCCAGCACAACTGGACTAAACCAAAGCTAAGAAGTTTCCTAAATACAATCAAATACTTTGAGAGACAGAAGAGCAGGGATGGGGTCTGGGGACCATGCTCTCAGGGGACATATATGTCAACTGGCATAACAAACCTTATTAAGAAAATGTTCTGCATCCTACTTTGGTGAGTGGCGTCTAGGGTCTTAAAAGCTTGCAAGTGGCCATCTAAGATGCATCACTTGGTCCCAACCACTTGGAGTAAAGGAGAACGAAGAACACCAAAGACACAAGGAAAGTATTGGCCCAAGAGACAGAATGGGCCACATAAACCAGAGACTTCATCAGCCTGAGACCAGAAGAACTAGATGGTGCCCAGCTACCACCAATGAACATCCTGACAGGGAACACAACAGAGGGTCCCTGATGGAGCAGTAGAACAATGGGATGCAGAACTCAAATTCTAGTAAGAAGACCAGACTTAATGGTCTGAATGAGACTGGAGGCACCCCGGAAAGCATGGCCCATGGTCTCTCCATCACCCCAGAACTAAAACAATTTCCGAGGCCAACCCTTCAGACAGGGATTGGACTGGACCGTGGGACATAAAATGATACTTGTGAAGAACGTGCCTCTTAGACAAGTAGATACTAGAGACCAAAGGGGCAGCTTCTGTCCAGAGGTGAGATGGGAAGGCAGAGAGAGTTAGGAGCTGGTTGAATGTTCATGGGGAATCAGGGGTGGAGGGGGAGGAGTGCGCTGTCACAGAATGGGGCGAGCAGTTGGGGTCTCATAACAATGTATATAAAAAAAAAAGTTCTGTATGGGAGACTAACTTGAAATGTAAACTTCATTTAATTACAACAATAAAAAAAAAAAATCTGGGCTGGTCTTGTGACATGATTTGACCAACAGAATCAGGCAGAAGTGACTGTGTGTAACTTCCAGCCTAGATCTCAAAAGGTCCTGTAGCTTTCACTCTTGCATTTTTGGAACCAAATCACCATGTGAAAGAAGCCAGGGCTAGTTTGCTAGAGATATGTGACAGATATCACCAATCACCAGACTGTGAGTAAGGCCATCTAATACCATCCAGTCCCGGTTGAATCACCAGACTGTAGCCACATGAGAGGCCCCAGGTAAGACCAGCAGGTGAACCACCCAGCTGAGCCCACCCTAGACTGTCAATCTATAGAACCATGAGCAAATAAATGACTGTTGTTTTCAATCACCAAGTTTTGGGGTAGTTTGATACACAGCAATAGATAACTAAAACGTTCATAACCGTCCTACTCCCAGGTAACCTCTCTTCTGGCACTTTGAGGGTCCTCACTTCCCTGCAGATGTTCTCACGTTCTTAGTCATATTGGGGATCAAAACCTGCTCCCAAATCTTAGAGTAGACTGGGGTGCTATCCTTGGAATGTCTTCATGAGTGTCCATCAGTCTTCCAACCAGAAAATGAACTCTCTGAGAATAGAATCTGGGTGTGGTGGACAGTGTGATGCACCTTCCAGATTCCCCTTCAGTGAAGGACCTGTTGCCCCAGATGCTGGGAGAGTTGGTAGACATCCTTAAACTATCTGACCCTTCAGGGATTGACTCAGCTGCAGAGAGCCACTTCTCTTGTCACTTCTCTTCCTAGGGGGTGACTGAAGCAGGGGTATAAAGACCTGACCATCTCAGCCCCACTCAGGACAACTCTGAAGGTTGATATATGCTACAGAGCTGTGGGATTGGCTGAGGCTGTTGTTGGGCCTGCATCACAGCTCATCTTCTGCCTCTGCCCACTCCTCCTTCTATCCCCTCCCTCCCACAGGATTGGAGACCAAGGGCCTCTTTAATAAACATCCTGCATGTCAAATTCCATCTGTGTTCATTTCCTGGGCAACCCAACATGCAACACTGGGTTTTATGTGCCTTTGTTTTCCCTAGAGCTCCTAGCTGCATCTAAATGCCCAGGAGAGGCATAGTTACTTATTAACTAGATGGATAGATGGGTGAATGGAAAGCGAGAGAGAGATGGCTGTAGGTATCAATGAACTGTTCATTGAGGGAAGTGGTTAGAGCCGCACCATCCAATATGATAGGCACTCGCCACAGGTGGCTATTTAAATTAATTACAATTAAAGAAAATTTAAAATTTAGTTCCTCGGTCACACTAGCCACATTACAGGTGCTCAATAACCACATATGGCTAGTGGCTACTGGATTGGACAGCACAGGTACAAAACATCTCTATCATTGCAGAAAGATCTATTTGGACAGTGCTGGAGAGCTTCTTGGCTGCCCAAAGCTCCAGCCCCCTGTACTTGGGGCAGAGATTGAGGATAGGATTATAATACTGAGACGCCCCAGTAGGCATGGGGATTCTTGATAAATATCTATGGAAGAGGTAGCATTAGGGTCTAGAAATTTGCTTATGAATCCTAATGATTATGGCCATGCCAAGGTTGTGACCAGATCATACTGGGGTTCTGCCTCTACAAAATAAAACTTCACATTAAAGATAAAAACCACATGGCCATTCACCCTGCTCCGGCTCCAGAGCCCCATCTCTGGGCTCCCCACTCACCTGGCTCAGGCTCTGCCTCCCCGTCTTCTGCAGAGCCACGATGGCCCGATGCAGGGGATACCCAAGAGCAACCACAGGCCCGATGAGGTCTTGCTCTTCCTGGCTCAGGGCGGACAGCAGGTCAGCCGCAGAATCGGGGTGCAATTGGTGGGGGTCGAGAGGCTGGGGCAACCCCCCAGGGGGTGGCAGGCAGGTGTACGGGCTGAGGGACTGAAATATAGACAGGCTGAACATGTCAGTTACCACAGGAGGTGACATGCTGCTGGGCTGGACATTTTAAAAGGCATCTTTTCACACATCATCTACTATATAAAGTGTAGGGGCTAATATTGCAGAGGGCTTGGAGTCTTGCAGGCTGGGTTCAAACTCCAGCTCTCTACCATTTACTCGGTTTACTCATATGTAAAATGGAGGCAATCATTGTAGCTACATCAAAGGGTGGTTGTGAGGCTTAAATAAGACAATGGGAGAAAAGTGATTAGCAAAGTGCCTGGCATACAGTAAATGCCAATATTTCATTTACTGCTTTCAACAACCCTGCAAGAGAAATATGATGGGTCCATGCTATTCTCCCATCTTACAGATATTGAACTCTAGGTTCAGAGAAGTTAATGACCTGATAAGCCGCACACACTTGGGACCTGAACGCTATTCAGAATCAAAGTCAAGGCTCTTTACCTCACATCTTGGTATAGCATGGATCTCCCCAGCCAGACCCTCCTTCTTGAGTTGGGCTGGGCTGGGGCTTGGCAGGACATGGGGCAAGGTGGGGACTGGGCACAGCTGCCCCTCAGTTGTGGTGCTGAGGGGATTCAAACAGACCCTGGACTCATCCCCCATGAGGATGTACCATCTGCCAACCCTGACCACACTGACCTTTCCCCTCCCACTCCCCAAGGGAAGCCCAGCTGCTGCCCTGGTTCCTGGGGATGGGGGCGGGGTGAATTCCCCACACAGCCCCACATTGTCAGGGTGTCATCCCAGGGTCTGCCCTTCACTCCCAGGGTGGGGAAATACCCAAAGTTTAGGAGCTGAGTCTACTCTTGTGACCTTGAAAAAGATCCTTAGCCTCTTCCTTCCTCAGTTTCCTCACCTCTAGAACAAGAACGGCATTTGTTCCCTTCCCCACACAGGCTTGCTGCTGAAAGTTAAATTTAATCTCGACCCGGGAAGAGCCTGGCATCAACATCCAGCCCCCGATGTGAGTATGGCTCATCCAGTTTACAGAGTGAGGGGTTCACACTTCCTGCACTTTACAGGTAGAAAAGGGGTGGCTCAGAGAGGTTCAGCAATTTGCCCGAGGTCACACTGCCAGTGAGTGGGAACAGTCAGACCTCAAGTCTGTCTTTTGAATTTGATTTCACCTTGGTCTTATTCTGTTGCATCCATTGCCTGCCTGGGGTGGCTGGGGGTGGGGGCAGAGAGGAGGCAGAAAGCTGTGCCTAACTGCACCTCCTGCTGCCAATCCTGAGCTGCTCATGCCGACATGATATAGACTTTGTGGAATCTGATACTTACACAGTTGGGGAGAGCCCTCTTAAGACAAAGGACACACAATTATGACTATGAAACTAGGTACAAGTCTCTAGAAGGGGCCAAGGGCAGCCCTGAGGCTTTAGCTTCACTGGCTTCACTGTAAATTCACTTCTGCTTCCAGGTTCTTCCGGGTCCACTACGTCTTTCCGGAATTGGCAGCAGCCTGCCCAGCCCTCACCTCTCTCTCAGTGCCTGACCTTCCCACCAGGAGGCAGCTCGGGGCCTTGTCCCACCCTCCCTTGGCCAGCTCTCTCTCTGTCTCTCCCCACACAGGGTCTGGCAGGACGGCCCTGCGCAATGAATATTCCTTGACTGAGCCTCCCACTTCACGCATCCTAGAGCAAACCTCTCCCAATGGAAATCCCTAGATTTGAGTCACATTCATGAATTCAACAGACGTTCACTGAGCACCCCCTATGGGCCAAGTCTGCCGCTGCGAGCTCTGGAAGCAATGACTGCGATCCAGTCACCGCCCTAAAATAACTCATATCGCATTGGAATTGATAGATAACTGATAATTCGATCATCGCAATCACTGTGACCTACACCCTAAGAGGCGAAGCGGGCACAGCGGGAAACGGAGCGCGCGGGGGCCCCTGAGCAGGGTCTACCCAAGCAAAGGGCCGCACGGAGGACACTGCGGTACTGGGCCGGGTGGGCGCAGGTAAGGGTGGGAGTAGCACGGCAAGGAGGCGACCGAGGCTGCCCCCCTGCCTGGGGACCCAGATAGTGGGGCCCTGGCTGGCGCAGCGTGCAGAGTTCTTACCGCGACCGTGGGCTTATGGCTCCTG